TGGAGCCTGTCCTGGAACTAGCTCTTGTAGACCAGGCTAGCCTCGAACTCACAGTGATCCGACTGCCTCTGCCTCCCGAGTGCTGGGATTAAAGGTGTGCACCACCACCACCACTGCCGCCTGGCTCACAAATAGTTTTTTCAATGAGGGGTGCCCCCCCACAGCCCCTTCACCTGACTGATAGCCTTTTGTTTTGAGCAACGCAGTATTTGGAAGAGCCATGTTATCAGAAACAAACTCCATCAGGGTGACTTTGGTGATCTGAAGTTCATGGAAGTGTTGAATGTCCTGTTGAAACTTCATCTCCACCTTGCTGGTAGTAAGAGGTGGGGCCACCCCTTCTTCATGAATGGATTAGCCCTTTCTGCTTGCCTTGGGCTGATGGGAAACCAGCTCAGTCTCTTCTTTGCCCTTCACTCTTCTGCCCCATGAGGACCCGGTGGTCCTCCATTCTGGATATGCAGCAACTGGACACCATTGTGGAAGCAGAGACATGAGACCCCTCTAGGCGCTGAATCTGCCAGTACAGTTGTTCTGGGACTTCCAGCTGGTAGAACAGCAAGGAAATAAATTCATCTTCTCTATAAACCATCCACTCAGTGATCATTTGTTACAATAACACATTCACATCGATACATGAGGTTAGGAAATTGAATTCCTATTTGGAGCAGATTACAGAAGGTGTGGCGTGGAGCCACGGCTCCGCGAGTGTGAACAAGTCCTTTAAGGACACCTAAGCAAGCCACCCCAAGTGATTGCATTATGGAGATCACATGTGGCCCCCTCCACGATGAATGGAGCAGCCAGCTGCCCTAATGTTATGCAAATAGGTGCTTGAGACTTGGGATAAAAATTCCAGCAAATGCATCCTAGGGATTCCGAAAGTGCTGATCACTGAGAATGGAGACAAGGGGGAGAAAAACGTGCCGGGGGGGGGGGGGGGGGGGGGGGGGGGGGGGGGGGGGGGGGGGGGGGGGAGGAGGACTGCAGTGACTCCAAAGGTGGCTCTGCCAAGATGTCACCGTTGCCCATGACCCTGAGACCGGAGATGAGCTGGAAAAACTGGAATGAAATTGAATTATGGGGCAAAGAAAGTAACATTTCTAAATTACCATGTCCTTAGGATAATGTTATTGTAAGCACGCAGGCAAGTGTAAAAGTTATCAGTAGGTATCTAACGTCCTCAGACGCTTTAAAGGGTTATGTATTCAGTCAGAGTCCTTGGCTCCTCCTCGTGGGGATGCAAGGAGCCATCCCACTGGGGACTTGTCTTACATGTGGGGCGCTGCGGCAGATGCGCTGGTGTCTTTCCAACACCCTGATTTGCAACTGCTAGCGTTTGTCACTTTGTCCCAGGGCTTTCTGGCTTTCTCTAGCTGCCTGCACTGGGGACATCCATCTGGAAATGCCAGGGAGACACCTCAGGAAGACTCCGGGTATAAATTCCTAGCTTCACCGTATGTGGGTAAGCCTGTGCTGGGGCCTGCTCTCCAGGGTCAAAGTCCTAGCTGTGACCCACTTGACTTCTTCCCCCTAGTGGGTACCGTGGCTTCTCTGTCCCCCTTCCTGGAATTCTCAGGAGTCCCTCCAAATAAAGGGAATTGACTCCAATCCTGGACTAGGTCAGCTTCTGGGGATAGTTGGTCCGTCACAAGATCTGCACGCCATTTTGATGAAAATCAGGAGGGTCGCCTTGTCCCTTCTGTCCCCAGGACTTGTGGGAGTCAGGTGAGGTCTGGTCAGACACACATTCTGACTGTTTTGTCTCAAAGCAATCTTAACTGCCCCCACCACCCCAGCCCCCATTAGATGCTTGAGCAGCTTAGTCAAAAATTGGTCCATCCAGAGCAATTAAAAGCTTCCTTTGCCAGGCCTTCGGGATTTCTGTCTGATCAATGAGAAACCCCAGAGCTGGAAAACAGCCGAAATCAAGAACAGAGTAATCGCCTCTTAGCTGCGTAGCGTAGACCAGCCAGGCGCCAGGGAGGCCCGCTCCTAAGACAGACTTCTCACTAGTTTTCCAGCCTCTAAACCAGATTCTGTGAATATTTGTGGGCAGCTCCTCCTGCTAGCTCATGAACCCCAGTAATGTGGTTTTTTTTAAAAAAATTATATTTACGATTAATAGTGAAATAAAAGCAATGGGAATCACATAGACTGTATTAATGACGTGCTACCTTCTGTGCTAAGCACACCACATACATCCGCTCAGCTGAGTTAGCCATAGCAGGAAGACTATCATTTCTATCTCTGTATCAGTGTGGAGGTGACTCAGGCTCAGAGAGCTGAAGCTCTCTTTTTGAGATCACACAGCTAGGAGGTAGGTTACAAACCTGGAAAGTTTGGTTTCAAAGTCTGGGTTTGTAACAGTCTGGCTTTTCCCACCAGGAGGAAAGTGGGTACCAACATCCGTCTTAGCCAGATTCTATAGAGGAACAGAGCTGATGGAATGAACATCGCCTTTGTTAGGGCTTCTCTTGCTGTGAAGAAACACCATGACCAAAAGCAACCTGGGGAGGAAAGGGTTTATTTCATCTTACAGCTCATAGTTTATAGTCCAGAGAAGCCAGAGCAGGAACTCAACGCAGGAACCTGGAGGCAAGGACTGACATAGGGGTATGGAGAAGTGCTTCTTACTGTCTTGCTCCCCATGACTCGCTCAGACTGCTTTCTTATACACCCCAGGACCCCCAGCCTAGGGGTGGTAGTGCCCTCGCTGGGCTGGACTCTTCCATTAATCACGAGTTAAGAAAATGAGCTATAGACTAGCCCACAGGAGAATCTTATGGAGGCGTTTTCTCAATTGAGAGTCCCTTCTTCCCAATGATGCAAATCTGTGTTAAATTGACAAACACAAGACAATGCAATTATATCATACAGAAGGGATTGACTAGATTTGTTTACATGATCTGTACTGGGTAGTCCAGCAATGGCTGTCTATATTCTGGAGAGGCCGCAGCAGCAGGGAGCCAAGGCACACAGGATAAAGCTATGCTCTTTTCCCTCTGGCCTTTCCCAGCGGAAGACACAGCCCACTCTGGGGAAAAGTCTCTATGATCAATTCATTCTTTCAGGAAATATCCTCTCCAACAACCCAGAAGCTTGTCTTAGTTGACACCAGATCAAGTGAAGTTGACAACCAAAATTACCCCTCAAACCTCTTTGCCTGACTTCATTACCTTCTTGCTAAACTCAGGCTTCTTAGAGTTTGTTCCCATGTTCTTCCTCCTTTCTGCTCTCATTGGTGGAGAGTTTCTGCAGATCTCCATGGTCACCAGGATGATGTGCCCCTACGGAGAAAGCCCCCAGAGATGCCCCTGTGTGGGTACAGCAACCCCCTTCCCCCTGCAGCTCTACTGGGAACAGCTGAGTAGTAGCTTATCTAGCAAAGCAGGGCATACGGAGAAAACACACACCACAGGTGAGCCAACTCTGAAAGTCAAAGGCCAGGAGACTCAGGGGACTCAGAGAGAGGATAAAGGTTGAGGATAGTATGTGAGGACATCCTAGGAGGTTGTAGGGACCAGCCATCATTCCCCATATCACTTTGGTTACATCAGACTTCTGCTCCACTTCCTTTTCTGGTAAATAGGCTAATGGCTTAGGAAAACTGAGAGGCTCCTATCTTGCTTATAGATCTGTGAGCCACACCCTTGTCTTTTGCTCTGCATCTGACCACTTCCTCCATATCCTTAATCCTTCGGCACTTGAGGTAGCCCATTTGTGTGGCTGTGTCTACTGTAGGACTCTGCTGCAGCAAGCACCTGTAAGGCCAGTGAATGGGCACCTTTTTGTATCTGCATTTTCACAGACAGACAGAGCACAGTATTTCCCAGCCAGGGATGACCTTGCTCCCTTCCCACAAGACATCTGGGGATGGTAGATGACATTTTGACTGTCACATCTGCAAAAGGGAGCTGTCAGCACTGAGGAGACAGAAACCAGGGTGCTCCTGAATGCCTTGCAGGGTGCAAGATGGTTCCCATGAAGAAGGTGGGCTTGGCTCATTATGTCATTAAGAAGGCCTGTTGGGTCCACGGACCCAATGGGCACCAATGATGGGGCAGGTTGGTTTTGTTTCCTTCTTTAAATTTTCCCCCTAACAATCAAGAACAGGAAATTTGTCAATTATGGCAGGCAGTCACGTCATGTCATTGAAGTCATCTCGCTGGCCCTCAAAAATGCTTTGTTAGGATGCTTAGCACATATCTATTCCATATTTTCTTCTCACTAGGGGACACTCCTTCAGTTCTGTAATCAGACAGACATAAGTAAGAGCCTATGTATCTAACACAATGCATTACTTCCATTCATATGGGGAAAATGTATCTTTTGACAAACATGATGTTAATGTCTCTACAATGCCCACTCAACACGATAAACTGGGAGACTAATTTCTGAGGCTGCATAAATATTTGTTGAAAGAACGGAGGGCAGAGAACAAGCTGTTTAAATGCCCTGCAGGAACAGGTTAGATATTTCACGCCATGACTGTCATGTATGAGGATCATAGTGGAGGTTGTTGGACCCCATGTGCCCTCCCCCCCCCACAGCACACAGGCTGGTCACAGTATTGCTCCTGAGCTGCTGGCCTACTTATGGCCGTCTCTGCTTCTCTCCTTCCACCAAGACTGGAGCAGGAGTGATGGGGCAGGCGGGACTCAGGGATGTGTCCTGCACACCCAAGGGCCCCTCCCGTATCTGTCCTGCTCTGTCAATACCTGACTTTTGTGACAGGTGGTGGCCTTGGTTCTGGAGAAAGTGCCTTTTCCAAGAAGGTGAGGGCAGCAATCCAGCGTGGGTGATCAGCCCAAAGTCCATTCTGGGTGATTCTGGGCAGCCTGCCCAGTTCCTTCCTGGAGTGCAGCTGACCTGGCATAGCCTCTGGATTTGATTTTCTGTTTCCTGGAGGGGGCACGGTTGGCTGCTGGCCATGTGGCCTGTGCCAGCCACCATTAGGGTCCACGCACAGAGCATACTCTACTTGTGGAGAGCCTGCTTGTCATGATGTCCCTCGGGTCTGAGGTAGAGTGAATGGGTACAGCAGATAGAGGGGGATCTCCAGGGGAAAAGATGGTTGGGGGTTGAGACCATGAAGACTGCTGAGGCCCCAGAGGGCTTAGGTGAGCATTTATCTGAAACTGGGGCCAGGAACTTGGGTCCTCTCCACGTGGGTCTCTCTGGGATAATCTGACCACATCCTTCCCTATCAGCGATCTTCGTAGCAGTTGCATAAACAATTAAATGAGAAATATTAACCGACTGGGAACCTCAGCGTCTCTTCATGCGGCTCTGTCTCTATGGCTTTTAAAGTGATGTTTGGAGAGATAAGAGGGCCGCTGTGTAGCCCTTCCTGGCCTGGGACTTTCTAGGCACAGCAGGCTGGCCTCCAGCTCTTAGAACTCCTCTTGCCATTGCTACCAAGTGCTAGAATCAAAGGTGTGAGTCACCACCCCTGTCTGGGTGGCTCTGTGTGGTAGATTTGAGAAAACCAGGAATGTTCCATGGTGGCTCTGGGCTTCAGTGGTGTATTTCCTAAGAGAAGGACCTTGCAGGAGATGCCTGACTTTATCCAGTTACTGGGGTCTGGTTGCCTGGAGTTTATAGTGGGCTCTTCCCTGCTGAGGGGGTGGCAGGACTCTAGCCACACTTAGGGTGAAGGGACCTAGACTCCACTTCTCAGTGAGGATCTTGTCTGATTGTGTAAGAGGGGGTAGGAAGGGCTGCTGGGGCTGTTAGTGACAATATCAACTGCCACAGGCTGTAGTGAGTGAAGACAGGAAGAAAGCCAGTGATTTTCTGCAGGCCAGGAGCCCAGAAAGCTCTAGTTCCCAGCGACATTCTCTCTGAAGTGTCGCTTGACAGCTCAGGTTTGGGGCAGGTTTCGGGGGATCTAGACACCACCTCCGCCCGTCCCTTCTGCGTCCACTGTGACTCAGTGCTGGGAGCATTGGCTCAAATGGAAGAAGGAAGCACACTAGCTCTGCTGTCTGTTTTTAGTTTCAGTTCCTGCTGTTTCAGGGTGGTCAAACGTGCTTCCAAGTATTACACAGAAAAATTCCAGATAGAAACGATTCAGAAGTTGAAAGTTGCACATTGCTTTGATGAAATCTTACAACATCTGCTCCACCCTACCTGGAATGCAAACACCGCTTTGCTGAACGGGTCCATGCTGTGCACACCACCCACGCGTTAGCCACCCTGGCCCGCTTGGCCCTCAGAGTCACTGCCGCAAACTTGCAGGGCCTGTGTACATTTTCTTCACCGTGGCCCCCAAAGGCAAGGGCTGTGATCTGGGGATTGTTACCTCAGCCTACTGTTGGCATTGTTCTGCTTTGATAGACTTTGTTGTGATCTCCTCCTGTGATTAGTTTAGGGATTGTATCAGAGGTGTGTGCATGTAGGGAAAAGCACAGTGGACGGGGTTGGCGCTAGAGATGTTTCAGGCCTCTGCTGATGATCTTGGATGGTGTCTGTGGTTGACAGGGCTGACTGCTGTGTTTGAGAGCACTTAGCCCTCACGGCTCCGCTAACAACTTGGGTCCTTCCAGGATCTCCTTCGCCTGTTTTGGGTCCACCTGTCTGCCCTCCTTCTTCCCTTCCCACTGAGTCTATTCTTCACTCTTGGTTGAAGGAGTGGCTGGCATCCTTGTGCAGCCTCTGTGGATGGGAACTCCTCTGCTCCCCTGAGATGCTTTTGCTTGGTCTCTACTGGTCCCCAGTCACTGGTTCTGTCAGTTCTTGTCTTGCTGTCCTGGACTCTCACTGGCACTGGGCAGGAGCTACACCTCCTCCCTCCCAAGGCAGTCCCTTCTCCTTGCTGCACACTCCAGGCTCTCACTTAGCCCCATAGCCTCCTCTATCCTTAAAAGTACAGATTGCATGACCTGTTTCCTGTCTCCATGACTATCTCGTGAGCTCGGACTTCCCAGTTCCTTCCTGCTGGACAGCCACTCTAGCTGGCTATCACACCCACTGGACCAGGTCAGCTCCGCAAGCTTCCATAGCCACCTGTTCCTCCCCTGTCACAGAACAGCACCATCCTGCCTGGGAAGACAACAGAGTCGCCTATAGATTGGATGCAAATCCTGCTGGAAAATAGCACAGCAAGGATGGAAATGAACACACAGACAGAGAGACCCGGGAAGCCAGAGGCGGGTCCGCACAGCCATCAGCAGAGGTGCCAAAGTTACACGTTGAAGAGTGGACCGTCTGTTCGATAACTGGTTTTAGGAACATTGCTGGTCCATAGGTGGGAGGAAGGAACTAGATCCCCATCTCTTATCATGTGCAAAAGCAGCTCAAAATGGACGGAAGATGTAAAAGTCAGACCGGAAGCTATGAAACTGCCGGAGGGAAGAGAGGCACTAAAAGATGTTGAGCTGGGGGGAAAAAAATCAGGGGTGTTGATGTGGCCCTAAAAGCACATAGGACAGAGGCCGAAGCAGACAAGTAGGAAAGTGCAGTAAATCTAAAGCTCTTGTCCAGCCAAGGAACAAATAACTGAGCCCAGAGACAGCTGGCAGAACAGAAGAAAATATTTGCAAACCGTTTTATCTGGCAAGGGACTAAGTTCCAGTAAATATAATGAACTCAAACTTTCCAGTTAAACCTTTAACAACCCTTTAAAAATAGGTGAATGAGTTGGACTTTAATCCCAGCACTCCAGAGACAGAGGCAGGTGGATCACTGTGAGTTCGAGGCCAGACTCGTCAACATAGTGAGTACCAGGACAGCCAGGGCTATGGAGAGAGATCCGGTCTCAAACAAACATAAAGAGGTGAATAACTTGCTTATTTAACACTCAGTAAAGGATTTGCAGAGGGCCAAGGAGCACAGGGAAAAACACTTACCAACCAGGCAGCATGGTACAGGTCTGCAGTTCAGCCCTTGGGAGGTTGAAAATGGAGGCTCCTTAGTTCAAAGTCAGCCTGAGATGCATAGCGAGACAGTTTTAAAAACAAGGTTGAGGGACTAATGAGATAACGCAGCTGTAAAGGTGGTTGCTGCCAAACCGGCCAACCTGGGCTCGTTCCCCAGGACCCGTATGAGTAGAAGGAGAAAACTGACCCCTGCAAACTGTCCTCTGACCCCCACCTGTGCTCTGTGGCATGTCCTCTGCCACCAGCAACAGGCGTACAAAATCAATCAATGAATACTTTGAAAAAAATACTATGTGAGTGACTACCTCATTCTGGGGTATACATCCGAAGACATAGAACCCAATAAGCAGAGGAGACACGTGTTTCTGTTATGTACTGAGGCACTGTTCTCAGTTGCCAAGATCCGAATTAACCTAGATGCCCATCAAAAACGAGCAGATAAAGAAAATATAACAGATATGCATAGTGAATATTAATCAGCCATGAAAAGAATATAGTTCTGTCTGTCATTGTCAGCAATAGGGGTGAACTGGACAAAAATGTGTTAAATGAAATAAATTTGGGGCATGATGATAAAGACAAACACTACGATGTCCCCATTTATATATGAGAACTAAAAGTATCTTTTTTTTTCTGTTTTATTTTTCTCGCATGTATTTACTTATTTTGTATGTACGTGTGAGTGTGTATGTGTGAATCATGGCGCATGTGTGAAGGTCAGAGGACAACTTTATGTTGCCGTTTCTCTTCTTCCATAAGTCCCAGTTATCAAACTCAGGTTGTCAGGCTTAGTGGTAGGTGCCTTTACCCTCGGAGCCCTCTCACGGGTCCTGAAGACAGAAAGCAGGGCTAGGGAAATGGCACCTGCATACACTACATAAACAAGAGGTCAGGAAGAACAGAACAGGGATTGCCAGGCTGCGGGGGAGGAGGAGCTAGGCTGGCCAGCAGGTGCAGGTTTGGAGGGAGGAAAACAGCTTCCAGGCCCCATAGCACCCAGGACGGCCACTCTGCTATCAACAAGGAATTGACTGATTCAGGGCAGCTGGTACAGAGGATTTTGAATGTTCCCAAGACACAGAATTAAGAGAACCTCAGGGGCCGTGGATACATCAGCTACTCTGATCTTATACCTTGTGTACCTGTATCGAAATGGACATGAATACGTACAGCCACGATGCTATCATTAACATGTTTTTAAAATCCCATTGGGGCAGAAGATGCAGATCTAGCGTCACTATTGGATTTTTTTTTCTCTAATGTTCTAATTGTATGAAGTCCAAGCAAGCCTATTTTCAAATCACCTTTTTATTTTTAAATAGATTCATTTTGTTTTATGCGTATGAGTGTTTCCCCTGCATGCGTGTCTGTGTACCACGTGCATACCTGGTACTGGGAACCAAGCGCAGGTCTTCTGCAAGAGTAACAACTGCTCTCAATTGCGTCTTTCCAGCGCCCAGACCATCTTGTGAGCTCAGTTGTGCACTCACCTGTTCAGCAGCTAGTTTATTTATTTATTTATTTATTAAAGATTTCTGTCTCTTCCCCACCGCCACCTCCCCTTTCCCTCCCCCTCCCCCAATCAAGTCCCCCTCCCTCGTCAGCCCAAAGAGCAATCAGGATTCCCTGCCCTGTGGGAAGTCCAAGGACCATCCACCTCCATCCAGGTCTAGTGAGGTGAGCATCCAAACTGCCTAGGCTCCCACAAAGCCAATACGTGCAGTAGGATCAAAAACCCATTGCCACTGTTCTTGAGGTCTCAGTAGTCCTCCTTGTCCGCTATGTTCAGCGAGACCGGTTTTGACCCAGGCTTTTTCAGACCCAGGCCAGCTGGCCTTGGTGAGTTCCCGATAGAACATCCCCCTTGTCTCTGTATGGGTGCACCCCTCGCGGTCCTGAGTTCCTTGTTTGTGCTCTCTCTCCTTCTGCTTCTGATTTGGACCTTGAGATTTCAGTCCGGTGCTCCATTGTGGGTCTCTGTCTCTGTCTCCTTTCATCGCCTGATGAAGGTTAATATTCAGGAGGAAGCCTATATGATTTTCTTTGGGTTCTCCTTCTTATTTAGCTTCTCAGCAGCTAGTTTTTAAGTGTGTTTTGGAACCACACACTGTTCGGGTAGCTTCTACTCTACAAAGGACAGAAATACAATTAGCTGATAAATAGAGGAATACACTGTAGGGAATGTGAGGTTAAGGGCTGGGAGACAGAAGAGCCAGGTGAGGATTTGGGTCATGAAGACAGGAAGACCTTTTAGGCAAAAAGAGATCAAAAGGAAATGCACGCTGGATAGAAGATGTCGAGCCCCCCTACATCCCCCACCCCAACCCATTGTCCCCAGAACCAAGGCTCCCACCTACCAGTTAATCCCTTTGTCACCTCCCTCATCCTTTCCTCTCATACACTTTCCAGATAAGGTTCAACCTAAGGAGGGCATGAAGGGGTATTACTCTCCCAGAACCTCTTATTTTCTCTTTCCTTCCTTCCTTCCTTCCTTCCTTCCTTCCTTCCTTCCTTCCTTCCTTCCTTCCTTCCTTCCCTCCCTCTTTCTCTTTCTTTCTTTCTTTCTTTCTTTCTTTCTTTCTTTCTTTCTTTCTGATAAGTTTTTTCCCTTCCCTCCTCTCCCCTCCCCTCCCCTTTTCTTCTCTTCCCTCCCCTCCCCTCCCTTTCCTTCCCCTCCCTTCCCCTCCCCTCCCCTCCCCTTTCCTTTCCTCCCCACTTCTACTTCTTGCAGTGCTGGGAACTGAAGCAAGGGTTTTCCCAGGCAAGTGTCTATCACTGAGCCATACTCCTACCTCCAGTTTTCTATTCATCTTTCCATTTGGGGGGTCTAGTTCAGTGCTTGGCTTCTAAAAATTTCAGGGTTCCCAACCTTGGGGATATGTTCTTGAGTGGATTTCACAGCCCCACAATCTAAGATTGTTTACTGAGGGCTTAGGAGCTCCCCTCACCCCTACCCAGGTTCATTTTGTTTCATCAGATCCACAGGCTGGAGGTCCTGGTAGGGTTAAGCCTGGGGGACACAAGCTGTCAACACAGGCCTTGAGCAGAAACTAGCGGGTTAGAGTCTACTACAGGAGCTGGGTCTTGGCCTTCTAATCAGTTGTAGCTCGGCTGGAGGAACCAGAAATCTCTACAACCTGCTGCATTTTGCAAGCAACATACTGTTTGGGCATCTGTGAAAGCTTAGTTCTGTGGGCAACCTGTGCCTCCGCCAGCCTGATCCAGCCTGGAGAAGAGAGAATTGCCAGGGTGAGGAAGGGCAGGAAAGCCTAGGCCTTGGCAGTAGTGCCAACAGAATGCAGAGTCTCCGTGCAAAGGACACAGCGGACACCTAGGAAGCTGGCTGATTCTGACTGTGCCTTTTAATAGCCCAGGTGCTGGGTAACCATTTCCTCAATAGGCTCCCCGGGGCCTTGGAGGATGTTTGGCAGTGCCAGGGTATTTTTAGCCCTCCAGTAACTAGAGCGAAGCACTCAGCAGGCCTGCCTTGCTCTGGACTCTGGGACATACTCCGTGGCTTTCTCAGAGGGGAATATGAGCTCTTCAGATCTGGTCTAGCTCTCTGCCCCATTCCTGGGCTCTCTCAGGGTTCTTGGAGGGATGTCTGGTCCTCATCAGCTGGTTGCCACTGGGCATGCCTGCCCAGGGTATGTATGGAAAAGGCAATAGAATGAAAGCCAGTCTTTTACCATGAAGGGCACAGAGCCAGAGGCTCCCTGGATGACTGACTGCTGGCTACTCTCTGGGGGAAGATGTGTGCTAGGAGCATATTCTTTCTAAGAGCAAAACAGAGAGCTCCAGGTTAGGGGCGTGGTGTGGAGGACCAGTGGACCCAGGCAGAGGGAGGGAAAAAGGTGGGCAGGGGTAACAGGGAACTACATCCTGGGGACCCAGGGCTAGCTTGCTGCTGCTCACCATCCCGACGCTGCGCTCACTTCATGTTTGCAGTTAATAGGTCAGTCTTGAATATTGATCTGACAAATATTTGTTAGATCACTGACCTAGGGGACTTCCCGTGCCAACTCCTCCCCAGCGGCAACCTGAGAACTGGTCCCTTGATACCCCAGGGGTCAGGTCCGGAAGAGACCCTTCCTGCAGGTGGTTGTACCGTTCCACCTGTGGGTGTGGACTGGGATCTGGGGCAACCACCTGTGCGAGATCCTTTGTTTGAAGTGGCTCCTCGGAGCAGGTGGTCAGAAGCAGTCAAGACTTGTTGTAGCCGCCCACGCCGAGACACACACCACAAGGTCTAGGCTGCCTGGGCCCTGTTCCTACCCCTGGCCACACTGTCCATCCAACATTGGGAAGGAGAGGTCTTGCTTTTTTGAGACAACAGGTGGAGACCCAGGGAGACTCGAGTCAGAGCCTGGGAAATTTCCTCCTTTTCCCAACACACACATTGACATTTGCATTGGCATCTGAGCAGGAGCGCGCACACACACACACACACAAACACACACACACACACCCCATCACCATCGTTGTCATCACCCCCACTATTGTGCTATATCCCCCAGGCTGCCACCACCCTGGACCCCACTCTGGTTCAGCCGTCATCTCCTAATGAACTCCTGCAGCTCTGATTCTAGCTTTGCTTCGTTTTTCTGGGTTGGAAATCAGGAAAGATCAGGCAGCATGGCCAAGCTCACACAGTGAATCGGAGACGTGGAGGTCAAATCCAGATTGCACTATTTCCCGAGAGGGGAAGAGAAATCCTGGGAAACATTTGTACCTGTTCTCTGAGATTCCGAAGCAAGTACCGAAAAATTAAATGACTTTGTGTGTGTGTGTGTGTGTGTGTGAAATCCAGATGTGCGCTATTTCCCGAGAGGGGAAGAGAAATCCGGGGAAACATTTGTACCTGTTCTCTGAGATTCCGAAGCAAGTACTGAAAAATTAAATGACTTTGTGTGTGTGTGTGTGTGTGTGTGTGTGTGTGTGTGTGTGTGTAGGGTTCTCCATTGCTCGAAGCCAGGCTGTCACTAAATAAACCTCTGAGGTCTGAGTACCTCTGCAGGTCTAGCTGCCCGTTGCCTTCACCTGACCTTTCCCATGTGTGAGCTGCCTTCTCATCTCTACTGTGGTGGTGTTTACTTTTCCTCCAACGTCTAGCTCAAAAGGCTACCTTCTTGTGATGCACGCCTTCATTTTCACCCCGCGGAGACCCTGAGATCTTTCCTGACACCCTCCAGCCTCAGTTCATGCCGATTCACCCTGGGCACTGCCATCACTGTGTCTGACTGGTATGCTACCATTTTCCGTGTTGTGTCGGACTGTCCTGCTTACCCATTTGGAGGAGGTGATGTCTGTGTGGCTTACAGGCCGTGGTATGCTGGGAAAACAGCTGTCTGGGAGAAAAAGCACCTGATGAGTAGAGCCAGCCAAATCTCATGGTGTAAATATTCTTAGGCACCGTGGTCAATGTCAAGCTATAATGATTTATGAAATCCCGGAGCAGGTGAAGGTGGGCTCTCTCAAAGTCGAGCTAGTAGCTAGCTAGCTGTTCCTGGGCCTGCTGCTGCATTCTTCTGTGTCTGTGTTTAGTAGGGGGGCCCAGCCTGTGCCACACACCCTTACTTGAAGAGAACATTCAATTCTAACATTTTTTTGGGGGGATTTTTCTGTTTCAAAGTTCTTACTTTTCTCCTGAAAGAATTAGAATGGATGTCAGGGAAGAGCCTTTTCAGAGAGATCCGGTGACATGCCTTCTACATCCAATCTCCCTGTATCTAAAGTTCCTTGGCAACTTCACTTTGATAAAGAACTGGGGCCAATTCTTAGTCCTTTCGTTGCCTGGGGTTAGAATAGGGGAGTAACTTCATGCAGTGCTAAGCCTGGATCCCCAGAGGCCCTGCATTTTTTTTTGTCATTGAGTCAATACATTTATTGATACCCATTTTACATATAATTCAATGAAATAATCTATAAATATAAAAGCATTTTTTTCCGCTTTGGCTGTCACCATGGTCCATGTAAATACTCAACAGTCAGTCATCTGCAGAAAGTGCTCCAGGTCTCACTGCTAGGTTACAGGCCCTGAGTTCGTGTCACTCAACAATGGCACTGATGTCCTCCAGGGACCCAGTCACTTTGGAATGTGACCGCTGGAGACTCTGCACCTTAATGGGGTTCACTTGGGACTTGGGCAGCTCTCCTGTATGAAGCCCACACTGCCATGCTTAGACCATCCTGCAAAGAGAGAGCCAGACTCTGAAGGCAGAGGTTCACCATCTCCAGTGAGTGATCCCAGACCAGCTAGTCCCAAGAAGCCCAGCAGCAAGCCAACAATGCCCATGTATGCCAACTGGGAACAGAAAAGTTACCCAGCCAAGCCCAACCTGCTTGGTCAATGTAAATTAAATGTTCTAACCACTAAATTTTTGCTTTTTTTTTGTTGTTGTTGTTAAATAAAGCAGGCGCCAACTCCTATACCATCCTCCATCCTTACATGAGTGTTTGTTTTTGTTTTTATGAGACCGGGTCTCTCTGTGTAGCTTTGGCTGTCCTGGAGTTAGATATATAGACCAAGCTGGCCTTGAATGCACAGAGATCCTCCTGTCTCTGCCTCTCAGTGCTGGAACTAAGGTGTGCGCCACCATGCCTGCCCCATCCTTGTACACGTTAGGAGCTAGCTCTGGTTGCATTACCTCATCTGAGTGAGGTAAAAATAGAGCCTGTTCCCTGCTGTCTGCTAACCACAGACACTCCATCGTCAGCACAACTGACCTCTGTAGCACTTGTCTTCTAGAAGAGTCTCGCCACCACCCTAAAGAGCCCACAGGAGCCCTGGCATGTTTAAACTGCTAACAAGGTGGGCGTGGAGAAAGCAGCTATAATAGTAAAAGAAATTATGGCGGAGAGAGAGAAACCTTAGGCGGTTAGTGAGACAACAGGGAAGGTGCCCAGAGAGAAGGGTCCACTGGCGTCTGCAGCAGGTGGACACTCGTTAGACCCCAGCTAAGCTGATCTGGCCTTTGGTTTTGCCTGGGTTGGAAACTGCCCCACCCCCACCCCGATCAGTGAAGATCTGGGTACCCTTTCCAGGAAATGTACAGACGAGGACAGGAAACTGGCAAGTTGCCCATTTTTCTTCCCCTGCAAAATGATTTTTATGAATTTGGGCGAACCAAAACATCCTAACGCACTGGGGCGGGGAAGAGAAAAACTACACTAGATACATTTCTACTTTTGACTGGACCGTCCTTGCCTGCAACCTGGGAAAGAATTATGAAAAAGTGAACTCCACCCTGTGTGTCCTCTAGGGTTGAGCTGTCGAAACTCCCTGGTGGCAAAGGGGCACTCTAGACCAGGGGAAGCAGCCCACGAAACAGCCTTGTGGCTGCTCTGGGGGGCCCTGTGGTTTCCCTCCTGCCAGCTGTGTGACCTTGAGTAAATGACCCAACCCCTCTGAGACCCCCACATCACGCGGGACTAGATGGGTGAGTCCTACTTCTCACCATAGGGTATTTCCCACACATTTAAAGACACACGCGGGGAGCTAGACAAACTTGGCATGTGACAGTCACGCTGCAGGTGGAGGTGTGTGTATATTTGGTTCTGTCACTATGTACCCATTGAGATAACACGGGTAGAGTGAGGGTACCTCTCTCTAATGGCTCCATAGTCATTTAATCTTAGGACACCGCAGGAGCAGACGCACCAACGTCAGTTCTCCCATTACTGAGGTATAGTAGCTCACTAATAAGCTGTGTGATCCTGGACAGATGATCTCACCTCTCTGGGCTCCTATTTCTTTCTCTAAAATATAATGTCATGGAAAACTTTTCAAATGTCAAATTCAATAAATATTGACAAAAACAGACATAGCTACCGGGCTGTATGATTTAGTTTTTAGCTTGTGTGTGGTCTGGTTTTATCCACTTACAGAAAACTTTAATGGCTCAAAAGTCTAATTGGGCTTTATATGTGTGTGTATGTATACGTGTATGCATATATAATGCGCATGAATATATGCGTGCATATATAATATGAGTATATGTAACACACGCACATGCAGACACATATGCACTATACACACATACACATATGCACTCAGAACTTTGGGGATGTTCTCATTTTTCAGTTTTAGGATTGTAACTTTATTCAGTTATCCACAGACACCTGGTGCATTTTTTTTACTTTTTCTATGAAACTTCTCTGGGTATTACAGGAACGTCTTCGGTGCTTAGTGTAGGGGGTTGGTGACTGGATAGAATGAGACAGTCTCCCTAAAGCATGGTGCTCGGTGCCTAAGCCAACTCATGTTTAATCTGTAGCTGCAGCAGCCACCAGCCCCTCTGCTAGAGTGTGGCTCCTGCTCACACTCGGGAGGCAGAGACAGGCGGATCTCTGTGAGTTCGAGACCAGCCTGGTCTACATAGCTAGTTCCAGGACAGGCTCCAAAGCCACAGAGAAACCCTGTCTCGAAAAACCAAAAAAAAAAAAAAAAAAAAAAAAAAAAAAAAAAAAAAAAAAAAAAAAAACTGCAGCGGGAGGGGAAGGGGAAGGCGGGCGGCCATCCTGTCTCCCAGGAAACGGGTCATTTTCTATTTGTAAGTCTTTCCATGGCTATCTGCTTTCTGTTGGGGACAGCCCATCACAGTCTCCCACCTTGCTGCTCTCCCCTCTCTTGAGGTCTGGATCTCATACACAGAGGTGTTGGCTGAGGCAGTCTCCTGTTTTAGGTAGGCTGGGGAAACCTTCCCATTCCCACAGTGAACTTGCTATTTCTTTCCCTAGGCTTGGTTCCTTACTCCGCCGGCTTGCTTGTACGGCCCTGAGTTCTATGAACTACATTTCCCAAGATCCCCAACTCACTGTCTTCCTGGTAGCTGTAGCCAATGGGAGACACTAGCAGAAGATTGGTGCTCTGACGAAGGGAGAAGCCGAGGTGGGAGGTGGGTCTGCATCAAATCTTTCTGCTTAGGGCGGTAGCCTTGCTGGGCTCCAGGTTACAGCAAGAGATACGACTTTCTTCTCTTTTGTCCCTTCAGCCCAAGGAAGCAGCGGTTTCGAGCAGGTTCCAGTCTCTTCCAGCTCTTCTGTCATCTTTTAACTAGGCTCTTGGATGAAATCACTATTGAACTGTTCGTCCTTGGCTCTGTTTTTCTGACGGGATTCTGCCTGTGGCAACTATCATGACAAAAATCTAAGCAGACTGTGTGCCCCTGTACCCCCAGACTCCCAGCAATTGAGGATTGAAAATACCTGTACCAAACACATGCAGACGTTTTCTTGTCGGTTTCTTCTAAGCAGTACAGTGTAACTATTCCCATAGCATTGACATTGGACTAGGTGATATGAGTCATGTGGAGATGGTTTAAAGTACGTGGGAGGATGGATGTAGATTATATGCAAGGACGTCACCATTTTAATAGTGTGTGCATGTGTGTGTGTGTGTGTGTGCTCGCGTGTATACACTCACGCAGGTGACATAGCACGGGTGTGATGGTCAGAGGACAAGCATGTGGATTCTGGGCGTTGAGTTGCTGGTTCAAGGGCAGGGCAAGAGTGCTTCCAACAGACACCATTCTACCATTTACGTAAGGGATCTGCGCACGCCTGCTTTTGGGCATCTTACAGGAGGCAGGAGGTCCTGGAACCAATGTCTCTCAGATGCCAAGGACTGGATGTATCTGAATGCTCTCACCGTGTAACTTGCTGGTCATGATTTTACAGAGGAGTTTTTTCAGGGGACTTTTTGTTTGGCAACTTCTAGTTGAATCTTCCCTGGAGGGTGAATGCCCACACCATCTCTGGTAGATGGCTAGCAAAAATGCCTACACCTATTTTCTTCTGAGGGTCAAATCCCTTTACAATGCATTTGATTTCTCTCTCTCTTTCCCTCCCTATCTCCATTTTCCTGTTTTTCTGACTGTAGTTCAGGCTAGTTTTGAACTCATGACCCTCCATCCTCAGCCTTGCTAGTGTGTGATTACAGGTGTGTACCATCACCCTAGGCTCACAATTCATATTTGCTACTCTTCCCAGGGAGAGATGGAGTCTATTTCCTTCTTCCTGAAGCTATAGCCCTTACGATTTGGCTAGGAGAATGTGGCAGAAGCAATCCTGTGCCCCAAGAGGCTCGACAGGTTTCTATGTTCTCTCTGGAAAACCTGCCTAGGCTGACCTGGATGACAACAGGACAGAGAAGCAGTCGCCACTCCAGTGGACCCTATCTTGAGCAGCTAGGCCCCAGACAAGCTGGCCGTGCCCTCAGATGTGTGGTGGGAGGCTCAAGGGAGGTGGGATGAGGTCAAAGCAGACTTAGGCATGTGAGTAAACCAAACATGCAGGAGACAGCACAAAGTAGAGAATGTCATTTGCTCCCTTGAGCTCCTGGTCCTAACACATTCCATGTCTAGCTGTCCCCAATACCTATGAGGCCCTTTGGGCCTGATAGTAATACCAACTGGACCTTCCTGGCACCTTCTAGAATAGTTTATGGAATCATCTAGATGGGTTTGTTCTTTTGGCTCATCAGCTCTCTACTTGTTGAAGAGGGTCACAGCGGAATGGAAGCACTGCAGAGCCTCAAGCTAGGGCAGGACTTTCCTTCCCTGGGCTGCCTGGAATCACTGCAAACCTGCCCCTCTATGACATCACAGATGCGATGATTCTCGGTGGGTCCATTCCTTGAACCTTGTTACGTTTGTTTAAGGAATGTCAAATGCCTGTCACTCCTTGAGGCTTTCCTCTCCCCCATCCATTCTGTGATGTGGAAAAGTTATTTCTCTTACTAATCAAAACCTCTGAGTTCACTGACTATTGGGACGTCCTTCTCCCTCCTTCGAGGATTACCTGGTTCATGCTACACAGGTCCCTATCCTTGGTCCTCAGAAGCTGTGGACCTGTCCGTTCGTGTGATCCTGGGTTTTTTTTTTTTTTTTTTTTTTTTTTTTTTTTTTTTTTTTTTTTTTTTTTTTGCACCTGCAGGCAGGTTGCCTGCGAGTCCCTTCCTGTCTGAGACCCTTCCAGATCCCTCGGTTTGCAGCTGTCTGCTCCTAGCCTGGAGTCTCTGTTGCTCAGTATGGAAATTCACTCGTGGCAGATGTTTTTGGCAAACCATTGGGCTGTGGCTGACCTGGAGGGTAGGGTTAGTGCACGTGTGTGAGGGTTCCTTTCCTCTCTGGGCCATCTGGGCTCTCTGGTGGAGGAAGCTATAGCTATATTTATAGTGTCAATGACTAATGGAAGTCTGGTAATAAATAATGGTGGCCAAGGATCTTGGAAGCATGCCATCCTCGGAATCAAATCCCTCCCCAGCTGCATCTAAGGTTAGGAGGCTTCTACTGCATGCCAGATATAAACCCCTGGTTAGGGTTGAGAGAAGGAAACAGAAGCTTAGGGAAGAGCA